TAGTTAATTGAATTTTTATTAAAGTGTTATTATAAACTGAGCTGAATTATAAACATGGCTTAGTTCAATGCACTTTATGAATTATGAACACTCTTAATTAAGAGTCATAATTGATGAAATAACTAGTTTAGAAAATAATAAAAAAATAGAATGACACCGATTATAATTATTGGAATTCAAAGTGTGTTCTTGAGGATTTGTCTTCGAAGTGTGTCTCAGATAGAGTTTTTTCATCAGTTGCTAGCACAACTGGGAGAATAGATAATTTAATTTTTAATTAAAAAATGTGTCAAATTAAATAGATTACATTTCAATCCAACTCGTTAAAAAATCTATATTTTGTTGTATTGTGTTTACCTTAAAATTTCATGCCATAATCCTAATTACAAGATTTCATGAATCAAATAAAAAATATAACCATGATCTTGATCATAATATTTCATGATCATGATCACAAAATTAAAATTGAAACATGTCATGAACGTTTAAACCGTGAATTAATTCATGCAAAAATGTGAATTAGATTACAATAATCAAATTGAAAGAACATATGATATTTCAAGTCATGAATCAATTCATAACTTGTCTTGAATCGATTCAGGAAAACAAAAAACTTTGATTCTACTCATAAATCACCTTGAATCGATTCATTTAAGTTTGACTTAATCAAACCTACATTTTATGCATGAAAATACCATTTTAACCTTGTGAGTGGGGGGTTTAATGAGGAACTTAAATAAATAAAAAAGTATTAAAAAAGAATTAAACCAATATTACACATGAGTAATTTTAGAACTATGTAATTTTTAGAGGCAACCTAAGATGCCCGGGGTTGAATGAAGTTTGTTGGATTTTTATCATTTTAGCGTTGAGTGTCTTAACTTATTAAAAATGTTGAAAGCAATGATGGTTATGCTACGTATGAAGAAGATAAAATGTAAAATTGAAAGTGTATAAAATAAATAACACACAACGATTGTTCTCCTTACCAACTTAAGGGTACGTCTAGTCCTTCTATTCCCTTAAAAGATTTTCCACTATATTTAGATTCTTGTAGAAATTTCACACCAATACCTCTTTACAACCTTCTAACACATACACAGACACTAAACTTTATTATGGACTTTGAATCTCCCCGAATCAAAGAACATTTTTAACAATCAACAAACACTATGATGATCTTCACTAAAACCTAAAAATACACAACTATTTATTTACAAACACCTTTGACCAACACACTATGGTGAAAAGTACAAAATATTCAAACTATGTTGAGAAATGAATAATATTGATGGCTTTATGATAATCATATCCAAAACATATTGTTGATTCTTATCAATATCACACTTCAAATATATATATATATATATATATATATATATATATATATATATATATATATATATATATATATATATATATATATATATATATATATATATATATATATATATATATATATATATATATATATATATATATATATATATATATTGCTCAAAAATTGATTTGATTTTAATTTTTTTTAGTTTATGAAAGTATATAAAGTTTTAAACTATTTTGAAAAATGAAGAAGACTTTGAAAATGATATTTGATTCTTACAAATCTGATTTTAAAAGTTTATCATCTTGTTTTCAAGTGTAATATATACATGCATAGAAGCCTCCATGAAACAAGGAAACACTTTGAAAATGAACCATGAACCATTACCTACCTTTTCAGATGCGTTGATACATGAAAAATTGCAATGATTCAAGTGGTAATCAATTACACAACCATGGTAATCAATTATTTTATGTTATTGTTTAAAAATTATGAATTTGGCAAAGTGGTAATCAATTACACAACCATGGTAATCAATTACTTGATGTTATTGTTTAAAAATTATGAATTTGGCAAAGTGGTAATCGATTACATACCTGCTTACTTTGAAAAAATTACACTTTTAAAGGCTCAACTTCACTTATTTTTATGTGTTACTTTTGAAAACATTTTAGTTTAGTTTGAGTGATACTCCCTTCGGTCTCATTTATAAGAAAAAATTAACTTTTTATATACATTGAATAAGTAATGTATTTGGACAATATATTGTCCAAATACATTACTTATTTAATGTATCTAAAAAGTTAATTTTTTCTTATAAATGAGACCGGAGGGAGTATGTTCTAAGATTTTGAGTGATATAAGAGATGAATCATGATATTTTAAAGATCAATATATTTAACCTAAATTATTTTCCATTTACTCCATGATTGTTCAAAGTCTTCATCTTTTGCTTTCTTTGTTGTCAATATTAACTTTATCTTTTTCTTCTTTTGTTGATGTATTGTCTTCATCAAAATCCTAATCAAGGTCAAGGAGAGGCTATTCTTCACAAATTAGTGGTGATATTCAGACAAAATAAATCTCAAAAAATTGTCAAGGGGGTTCCTAGATCTTAGTTGAAAACCAAATTACAATTGCATTGCATATTGAGCAACATTGACCGTTATAGGAGCAGTTAGCTGAACAATTAGCCTAAAGATGAAATACCATAGTGGAAAGACAAGGTGTTCATCATTAAGACTGATCTAGAAGTATGTAAATAATTTGTTTCCTCGTGTCGTTGAAGCCCTTCAAGAACAAGGGTGTTCAAGATCAGGGAAACCTCAAAAGATATGGCCAACCACCAAATGATTAAATGTCAATTTAACAGGTGTCTAGATAAGATTGACGACAGACCCAAGTAAATCTAAAGTCCTTAGTGGGATGACGTAGAAGGAACTTCTGTTAGAAGGAAAGAAAATGTCATCTCAAATAAAAGCCTCAAAAGACGCATCTCTGCATAAGACAAAAAAAAGCTTTTGACACTTTATTTATTTTATTTGAATGTTTTTTAAGCCGTCATTTCCAATTTAATAGTTAATGAAATTTTTTTCCAATTTCCTTTATATTATTAACATGCCCAAGACAATCAGTCTCGATTTAGTGAGCAACTTCTAAAACACAAGGCTAAAAAGGAATGCACAAGTCAACAAGTGTCTCTACCTTCCGCGCAAGGAAAGATGTAAAATACACAAGACACCACTTCTACCATAGAGATAGACAGAGATCAGATTCATCCACACCTAAGCAAATGACAATACAAAAATAGAGAAATGAGTGTTCTCCACAACCACTTCTCGAAACAAGATATGAAAAAGATAATAGAGATCAGGTACAAGAGGGGAAATGGTAATTGCGTGGTTATATGTGATGTACGGGTTATGACAATATTGTTTGTAGTTTTGATGTTGACAAAAGAAGAAATCTAAAATAATCATGAGCATCGTATCATTAAAATATAAAAAAAGATTAAAGTGAATAAAAAACTAAGAAGATTTCAATGTCGAGAGCAAAGATAATTAAGTGCAAAGATCAACATCAAAAGGAATTGAAGGCTTTGAAAGCTCGTCTAATGTTGTGTCTAATTGTTTTTTATCTATATAAAATCAATGCTATGTAAGCAAGTGTGAATAGCTCTCAAATTACTAAGACTATGTATAATGGGGGTGTTGAAAAAATTATTCAATAGTTGAATATGTGCAATGAGATGTTAAATAAAGGATTGAAAGTGAGGTGAATTAATATGTGTTGAAAATATTCAACATGTTCAATGAGGAGGGAGTGAGACCACATATAATACTTTGCAAAATTTTATTGGTTGTGGTAATTGTTTAGATTTTTAATTCGCCTTAATTAGTTGGAACCAATAATTTTATAATAAATCAATTTTTTATTATTTTTATTTTCATCAAAGTTCATCATTTTTTCTATAAATAGATATTTGATTCATTTAATTTGGACACAAAAAAAATTTACTTTTTTTCTCTATTTTTCTATTTAACCTCCGATAAACTCTTGTTTTATCCACTTTTATTTATTTTAATAATGACTATTCCTATAAAATTAGAAAAAAATTAAAACAAAATTAAAAATATAAAATTAGAAAAAATTCAAATAAATTATTAAATTAGAAACAAAATTAAAATAAATTATTTAACTCTTAATTATTTTAATTTTATTTCAATCGATAATTGATATTAATATAAAATTATAAAAAAAAAAAATAGTAATATGAAATAAAAGTGGTGGGATATAATGCTGAATTTTATTAAACAAAATTATTGTAGTGAGTAAAAATTAAATAAATATTGAATTATTAGATAGAAGAAAGAGAAGATAATATAGAATATAAAAAGTGAAAAATGAGGGTGTTGAAAATGTTAGTCTAAAGAAGTACACACACTCAAAATGATTTTACAAATTTTATACATTTTCAAATCTTTTTAAAACCACTTTTAGTCTCTACCTAATCGATTATGAAATATCCTAACCAATTAAAAAAGCAAAATCTTGTTTTCAAATCAATTTATTTACATTAATACACTATGAAAAAAAATACAAATAAATATTATTGTCAAATATCGAATCCTAGAACAACTTATAGGATTAAATATCTCAGTCACCCCCTCGTATCCTCAATTTAATATTTTATAAAAGAGATAGACCCAAGTGATAGATTAATGAAAATTATTTTATTAGGTAGACCACATTAATGAATTCCAACAATCTATCATGTGTTTTTATATCTCTATCATAACTGAATATTAAATAAATGGTAGACATACTAACTTAGGCAATAATTAAAGTCATTACAATTTCTAGTTTATACAAATATATAAACTAGTTCCCATGAAGTAAACACGAAACACAAACACATAGTACTACAAACTAAATCCACAAAAGAAGAACCCATCATACACAAAAACAAATCACAGTTTGAAATCCACTCATTGTTCAAACACATAATAGTACACAATATGCTGCTAACCCAAATTAAGCACAGCTAATAATGCTTTAAAGATTAATTAACTTAGCAATAAAGCTAACACAAACTTCACCTAACTTAAAATCTTAATTAATTCTCGACCTGAGAATAGAATTTTAAAAATTAAAAAAAAACCTCATGATTTCATTTTCATCTCCTGCATCGCGTGATAGCAGAACAGCCTCTAGTATAAGGATGAACAGGTCCTCTAGCTTCATAACACTTGTGAGTGTAATAAGATCTACCAGAACGAGGTGGACAGGGGATTCTGTTAGCAGCAAGAGCACCGTAAGAGATATAGTATTTTACTCTACTCCAGAACAAAGATCTTCGACTGAAATCATCACTGTCCATGTCTTCTTCATTGTAAAGTGATGACATTGTTGTTGGCCATTCTAGAACATCTGAGCTTAGGTTCAAGGTTGTTGTTTCTTCGATCTGTGCGTCAACGTGGATGCTGATGATGGTGAAGAGAGTGAGAGATAGTAGAATGGGTAGAATGAGATTGAGAGGAGCAGAGAAAGCCATGATGACAAGAAGAAGAAGAAGAAGAGTGAGAAATGAAAAGTGTGATGTTTTTGTTTTGTTTTGTGAGGGAAAAGGAAAAGTGAGGACAGAGACAAGAACCAGAAGTCACATGTTATTGTAAGCGCCAAAGGTGGGAACCTTAATTGTTTACAGCTGTTATTCATCAATGTTTTCATCAACCGTGCCTCTACGATACCTGTTCTATTCTCTGTGGTAAGGTCCATGATAAGAGAATGTAATCGTGTTATTTACAACCTCGTTTAATGGAATAATGCTGTGAAATAATGTGTGTGATGAATCGGACGGTGATGAGAAAAGGGGCGTAATGTATAGGTTATGATGGAGAGTATTGTTGCGTGTTATACCATATATGACGGTTTTGAGTAAAGACGCCGCGGATGCGACTTGGATCAGCGGTGATTTTAAAAGCCTCTAATTGTGCACCTAACTTTCCTACTATTTATCTCTTACTATTTTTCGGTTTATCTTTTTCTTTAATTTTTATCTTTTTTTTCCAATATTTTAAAAATCGAAGTAAACAAGTTTAATCTTGAACTGATATTTAATTCAGATCGATTTAAATTAATAAATAGTTAGATTTAAAAAATTGAGATAAAATTATTTTAATTATGAAAAATTAAAATGTTTATAAAATCGGGATTGATTTTGATAAATCAAACGGTTCAAAAAAATAAATATAATTTTTTTTAATGTTTTGCTTCATTTTATTTCTTGATTTAAATCTAAAAAATTAATTATAGCAAACATTTAAAATTGTATTGATGGAAAATAAAGAATAAAATTAGAAGACATTAGAAAAATTATACTGACAAATAATTTTTGGCTTTGAGTTAAGTAATTAGGACAAATATATAAATATTAACCCTTAACTAATTTTTTGATTTGTTATTTGGTCTTACATTGCATTATTCTTCTTTTTTAAAGCTTGTTTATTAATATCGTATTTATTTTCGAATTTTATTTTATTAATTATGATATAAATTAATCTTATTAAGATGTTTAATAATATATTTATTCTTTTTCTTAATCTAAATTTAATATACGGTTCAACTATGATTTAGCCAATTGAATTTTAATCCGCGTGTTTTAACGGTTCTTGAAGGGTGAGAAAAACACAAGAAATTGGGAGTTTGAATTGAGTTTTTTAACAAACTTCTTCTCATGAGAAATTATTTCACAAACTAACTAGAAAGAATAAGACTAAGAAAAGAATAAAATGACTCTTTTGATTTATATAAGTTCACCTTCAACAAGGCTACTCTTGTTCATCCATCAAAGTGATTTTGTCTTCAACAATGACTTAATCTATTAATCTCAACAAATTACAGATGCACGGGCTACCCGCTAGTGACTCACAACAATCGTCTAAGAGTCTAAAAAGACATCTTAGCCCTCTCCAATCTACAGACTAACAACCTAGTCACTTGAGGCAATAATCAATTATAGACAAACTGACAATCAACTGTGTTTACAATGTTTGCTTCTAAAAAGCAGATTAACACAATAATGAAAAGCAAAGTCTCTAATATAAATAATGAGCAACAACTTTTTGTATTGAGAATTCTAAGATAAACACAAATAATGAGCAACAACTCTTTGTGTTTAATCCCTAATATATTAACACAATAACGAGCAACAACTCTTGTGTTCTTGATATTTCTCTAGAAGAATATTTGTTGATGAATATTTGAATAATGATTCTCCTTTTTTCTCGATGTTTTTCAGTATTTCAGCAATTTGATTCAAGCTTGATAATGTTGAGTAATTCGTTCTTCTTCAAATGCTACTGAGGTCTCTTTATATAGACTTTGAAAAATAGATCGTTGGTAGTACATAAATGTCGTTTTCACTTGCCAGCTACAGTAACTGTGTGATTTCATCGTGGGAGACAAAATAGTACAATATGCAAGCATGTAGTGAAATTTAAAGCGTATTATATGTACTATAATCTCCGTGGATAAGTTTTTTAGAACTTTATCTTCTGATATTTTACTTATGGCTTGAAGTAGTAAGCTTGAAAGATATGTCTTTCTGATCTTTGTCCCTTTTCCCTTTGTTGGATTTATTCTGATATGATGAATGAAGATGATCCAGAAGATAATTCACTGTTGTAGAGTCAGAGTCTTTCAGATATTTGAATATTGTCTTCAGATATACAGGAAATAACTAATCTGAGGAACAACTTCTTTGTTTGTTAATGAAAGCTTTTCTAATCCACTTTGTCTTGATTTGATCTTGATTTTTAATAACAACTTTTCTGAGTTGCATATCTGATGTCTGATTTCTGAAGCAAAAGCTTATGACAATATATCTAAATTTATGATTCATACTTTTTGATCTGATCCTTTATTCTTGACTTTTGTTCTCGAATTTTGATCTTAGATTTGAGCTGAAAGCATAAAGCTTGTGTTAGCTACTTCTTTGTTTCTGATCCTTTTCCTCTGTGATCTTGATCTCTGATGTTGAGCTAGAAGTAAAAGATTGTGTTAGCTACATCTGATTCTGACATTTTGGTTTCTGATCAAAATCTCTCTCTTTAGAAACGTATGTGAGCTCTGATCTGAGAGTGGAGCTTTTCTGAGAACATATTTGATTTCCTTTCTGACAAACATTCATCATTCCTTAGAAATGTTGATATTTCTTTATAAACGGTCATAATAGTTCTTCTGGTGAGTGCAATGGTGTTTTTGATGATATCTTTAGAAAGACTAAAATTTGATTATGATCTTGATTTTGATATTGAGCTGATCTTTGAATTTTGATTTCTTGACTCTTTGATTTCTGATCTAGAATCACAAGTTCTTCTTAGAATTATATTGATATTATTTTCTTATCGGACATTCAACATTCAACTGAACTATTGATGTTTCATTAAAAATGAACTCAATGGTTCTTCTTCTGAGTGATAAAGTGATTCTGATGATATCTTGATTAAGACTATTCATGATTCTAATATATGCACACTCAATGAAACCATTTGAAATAAAATTGTTCTACATAAAATCTATGTGTTGTTATCATCAAAACATAGATATTTAAATACAGATTCAAATCTTGTTCTAACAATCTTCCTATTTTTAATGATGACAAAACCATATATTTTGATGAAATAATTTTACAAGGTTAAATCGTAAACAAAATAATATAAGAGTTTAGAAAACTCCCTATGGGATAAACAATAACCCACTGAATCATAAGCTTATCATCTTTAAGAGCTTTAGGAGCATTGTTATCTTGTTCAGAATCTGATCAATATCATTGATTTTAACATCATTGGTCGTTCTATATCATAATTTGATTTATTAGAGATGCTCACAATGTTTCTGAAAATACATTCTAAACAATTTGCATATATATTTTGTCTTGTTAGAATGTAAGCAATATGATTTCAGAGATATAGGTTGTGTCAAAATCATCACTAATTTCTCCCCCTTTTTGTCATAATTAAAAACAAAATTAAATACATGAGGAAAATATATTAATTCTAAGCCTAAATAATCCTAGTTTATAACTTATCACTTAATCGCTATCCAGTGCAACTTCTACCTATGAACCTCCTAGATATGAGAAATTATCATCTCACTTCCAATCACCGTAGTGATAAAAGACCTGCCCTGATCCCATTGGAAGTCTATAAACCAGTTACAATCACAGTAACTAGTACAAAGAAAAACCCAATAGAAAATTACACTTCAAATACAATACTTGGTTTTGCTTAAAAGCTTCATCTTAGAATAATACTAAAATCTTTGCTTAAAAGCTTTAGAGGAGAATAATACTCAACTCATTACCTAAAGGTTTCTGAGTGAGAACACCATGTCTACCACAATGTATCAAAAGATACAAGGGGTGACTTACACCACAAATAACACAAGAGACTCTCAAAACCTAAACCCTTATTTTAACTAAACAAAATAAGAACTAATATGCCCTAGGTCTTGGTCTTCTTTTTATAAGCTTCAGTTGTCCATGGGCTTCGACTTCTCTTCTTAATTATTCCTTTATCCATGATAAGTGCAAATTGTAGTTATTTTTGTATATACTTTTTGTTGCACTTATCAACTCTTTGTTGTTAATTTTTGTTGAATAAACCCAAATTTTGTGTACATATGTATACTTAGTGTATAATTGTATTTATGATTCAATTATGCATCGTTTGATAGTTTTAATGTCTTTTTGTAGATATTTTTGCAAATTTGGAGCATCGAGGAATAAGATGTCGAAAGCACGGCTCAAGATAAGAATTTTTGGAAGAAATAAAGAAAATAAGTGTTGCAAACGAGGCTAAGCGCGGTTTGTGGGTGACATTTAAATTAAACCAAAAATGCCTAAGTCTTTCCAGGCTTGAGATTTTTTCTTTTCGACTTTTGCTAGCCAAGCTAGATACTGTTTATCTACTACAGGGCAAGACCTAAAAGGTCTAAAATTCTCAGTTACATAGTCAAATTGAAAAGGGTTATCATCATTTATAGTAACTAGGAAAGATTCTTTTTGGATTTTCTCTATAGATGATCCTGCTAATTGTTTATCAGGATTTACGTTCTTCTTCTTAGTGGGGTCAACTTTGTTAATAATGGATTTCGTATCATAGTAAACTGGGAAAATATTCTTAATTTGTTCTAAAAATGAAGAGGATAGCATTGGACCCATATACCCTAGAGTTTTATCAACAAGTATAAAAGTAATTATTACCTGAGAAGCGTAAATGGCTTGTTGTTCAGTAGAAACAAGTGGCGATGGGACCAATTCTTGATTTCCAACAAGAAGGGTTTTGTGATGTGATGAATAGGCTAAAATGCAGCATTGTTAGTGGTCTTCGCTTTCTTGTTCTTCACATTTTTGTCATATTTGTTACTCTTTTTAGATGGCGTCATGTCTGACAAATTTAGATTTTGATGGTTTGATGGTTTTGAGGAAGGGATAGAGTAATTTTTTTTTTGAAAAAAGGGGAGTTGAGAAGATGAACAAGTGTGTTTGAG